ATTAGCGGGAGAACAGTGCACGTGTTAACCTGCTATTTATTTACGTTTCAACAATCAACAAATAATTAAACAAATGATAATATTGTTATAAAAGAAAGAATGAAACGTTTGACTGAAGAAAGGACTAAGCTTGTCTTGGAGAAACTGACGAAATAGTGAGTTTAATATACAGTCATGGCTGCATTTCAAAATGAAATAACCTATTAAATATTGAATTAAACATAATTGTCTGTAGGATACTTTAAATTATTATGAAAGACATGACGTTTAGTTTTTCTTTTGCAATTCTTACTAATAACAATGTTCGATAAATTTTTCTTACTATCAATTAAGCCTTTTTATGATTCCACTTCAATATTAAAAAAGTTGTTCCATTTTTAAGAATGTTCGCTTAATGTCTGGCGATTATAAATTACATAAAACCGTCAATTATAATAAATAACCCAAATTCTACTCGTTGGCTCAAGATTATATACATGCGGTATAAAATTGTAGGAACGAAAGCCAGTGAGTTGAATTTGTGACGTTAACAGAAATTGGAGCATTTACTATATTAAATATTAATTTATTTCAGTATTGGAACGAATGTGAAGCTACTGATTGATCGACCGGACGGTGTCTATTGCTTCCGGGAAAGGAAGAACAGAGTGTATTATGTTTCTGAAAAAATTCTAAACCTGGCGAGTATGGTAAACCCAGACAGATTGGCTAGCGTTGGGACGTGCTTCGGGAAATTCACGAAAACGGGAAAATTTAGGCTTCATATCACAGCACTGCATCATCTAGCTCCTTACGCTCAAGTAATTATTCTTTATCTATTCAATTTAGTAAATAAGAAGCTCCTGATTGATCTAATATCTTCTTTTAGCATAAAATTTGGGTAAAACCATCGGCTGAGCAACAATTTTTATATGGACATCACGTATCCAAGGCTGGCTTAAGTAGAATAACAGAAAATACATCACAGTATCAAGGAGTAGTCGTTTTCTCGGCGCGTGATATTCCACTGGTAACTATCAATTTTTAATACTAATTATATCTCCATGTTTTTAGCTTAATGGAACGGCGAGCTGAGGTTTGTGCTGAGACAGGAAATAGACATATTTGAACATTTCCTCTAAGACGATGTGACGAGAATTGTGGCACAAAAACTTTAACAACTCAGAAATTAATCATTTCCGAGCCTATGTTAAACGTTTTTGTCTTCTCTAAGCATCAGGAATCTATTCTTAAAGTTTTGCCGACCATTTACGAAACACAGTTTTCGAAATTTTAATCAAATACAATAAAAATATTGTTTAATGGGATGTTTCTTTTATATTACCAATAGAATTGCTAAGTATTTTATACGGAGGGGGTGGTGGGAGTCAGCCAAATGATAAGTGGTTGGTACATGTTTGGTCTCCGCATTAGAGATTGGTGGACTGATTTTAATTCCGCACACTGTGGGGGCTTTTTAAAACTAAATTCCATGCATAGCAGGTTAAAGATATGTCAACTGTCTTAAGGACAGAGTTGAATAGTTCAATGGGGCTCGCACGATACAAAAAAGATTTCTTTTTTGTCATTTTTTTTTAAAGATGTCAAGGTCATTTTCATTTTTCTAAATGAAACCACATTTTGGGCGCAAGTACCCTACAATGTTAGATGACTCACCTTGTATAATACTAAAAAAATTTTAAATTCTGTAAATTTATTAAAAAAATTATAGTGTCATGAAATTCGTGTCGAAAATTGTCCAAGTTTCAGTCAGAGAAAACGACCTTGTTCGATGCTTTTCAAGCTTCTCAACGCGCAATTTTACAAATTATCGAGTATTTTCTCTGATTTACCCCCGATTACGCTTTTATGCTGTTCCAGGGTTTCGGTGTTTCAGCTAAAAGCACAGCGGACTGTAAATACGCTGACCCAATGACGACGGTATGCTTCCACCAAGCTGACATTGGAGAGTACATCAGATCAGAAGACTCCCTAATATAGCAATTTGGACAGATACATCTTATATTTAATTTTTAAGCTCGTAGGAAATAAAATATTATTTAAATAAAACTGTGTTATTGAGACTATATCCAAAAATCTGAACGTTTATTTTAGAGCCACCGTACGACGTGATAATTCTTTTTCCCCACTCTGAGCAAAGACACATTGTTGCTCAATATATGCACGCCAGGAACGATAACTTCCTCAGTGTTCGTGATCTTTTGATAATTAATGTAAAAACCACCAGCCTCGATGATCCTCCTCGCGTCGTGATCGCTTTTAAAACAATTCGCCTTCTTCGCTAATTCGTAAACATTGATACCTGGCTCAGCGAGAAGTTCGACCACTGCCGCGCCGTCTAGTATCTGTATCAGTTCGTTCACGTTCATTCTAGCTAGATTCTCGATAGACTTATCGTAAAGAACGGCCGAAGCCCTCTTCGCCGCAGTCACACCCTCCTCTAAAATTAATTCCAAATAAGACAATAAAATTTTAATTTGAAAATCGCTGGACTTCGTTTGTCGAACTCACCGCCGTGAACAAGCAACGTGACGTTCTCAGCGAGGGTCTGTTGCGCCACCCTTAATTCCGGCTTCCGTACATGCTCCTGCATGATTCGTTTGATCTGACGAGTGGGGAGGAACGTGAAGAAATGAAGTAGGTTCTCTACTTCAGCATCTTCCGCTCTAATGAAGTACTGGTACAGTTGGAAACTGGAAGATTTCTGGGCGGAGAGCCAGACCGCGTTCCCCGTTGATTTACTGAATTTCTTCCCACCCTCAGCTGTGATCAGCGGCAGTGTCAATCCGTAAACCTGATTCTTTGTATACCTAGTGATCAAATCGTAGCCAGACACGATGTTACCCATCTGATCCTGGCCTCCGACTTGGAAATTGCAACCGAAATTACGGTGCAGGTGAAGCCAGTCGTATCCTTGGAAGAGCGGATACATAAATTCTGTGAGGCTCATTCCACTGTCGGATTGCAATCGAGCTTGAACAGAGGCTCTCCCAAGCATAGTCCCCATACGAAAATATCTGCCAAACTGGTTAATAAAAGCCAACAGATTCGCGTCTTTGTACCATTCCAAATTATTCAGAATTTTTATAGGAGTCAAACGATTAGGGTGTTTGCAAAAGTAGATTTCATGGTTCCTAATAACTTGCTCAATGTCTCTTCTAATGGAATACAAGTTGTCTTGCAGCACGACTTGCTCGATTTCGACGCGTTCTACTTTCCTGTAGCTGGGGTCACCGATTAATCCTGTCGCACCACCTAACAGGACGATCGCCTGATGGCCACATCGTTGCCAGTGCAACAGATTGATGAGAATTAACAAATTGCCGATGTGCAAACTGTCTGCGGTCGGGTCGAATCCTGCATACACGACCTGAGGCGGGCTTCTCCATAACTTGTTCACGTCGTGCCTGATGATTTTATATGAGAGATCCCACGGTTAACGTCTAGGTGTCGAAAGTAAATCAGAATATGTAAAACAATAATGCTTACTCGCAAATAGAGGGGAAGATATCTTCGTACAATTGCCTATTCTCTACGTCGAACACGAATTTCGTAGAGTGCAATCGGCGGCTGTTGAGATACCGGAACGAACGTAATCTAAATACGTTGTTCATTTTCAATCGACTTAACTTGAATGAAACTCGCAACTTAATTCTAACGATTTATTTGATCATTATTGCTAGAATCCTTGTTTTATTTAAAGCCACGAGAAAACACTGTAGAACATAACCGCAATTGTAACTTCCTTATGCGAACCGTCAGATGGGGATGTTACGACCGAACTTGTGGCAAATGTTGGTAATGCAAATCGTTACTGACAGAGTGATGAACCACAAGTGTTTCCGTTTCCGTTTGAGATCTGAGGCTTGAGAGACTTTTAAAGGGACCTCCTAATATTAAATATATGTATAATTATAAATTATATAGAACACACCTGTGATATGTAGAGACGACGAATGAAGTGAAAAATGGTAACGTTTTGAGTTAAACATTAAACTGAGCACAAGTACGAAGATAGTGTCGCGTTATTTAATCCGTGTGGACTATTGGTCCTTATATTACAAATTCGAAATACTGTGCAGATAGATTTGTGTTCAGTTTATTGAAGATTATTTCTTTTCAAATTAATTGTTTAAATTGAGGAGATTGAGAGGGAAGTATATACAGTAATTATATAAGTATTGTATAATTATTTTTTTATATAAATTGTATAATTATATCAGAGGAAAAGTTA